TTCGCTGTTTTATTTTACTTTACTATTTTGTTTTACTCTATTATTATTTTACTTTACTATTCCAAGTAAATTTGTAATTTTGCTTATCATTAATTAGCATTAAGCAAACAGTTTAGATATGCAAATTTGATGGATCCGATTTTCCGAAATGCTATATTAAACCATATATAATCTTTTCCGATTGAATGATTTTTTTATACAGTATTACGTACCTGACAAAATAAAAATAATATTAAATTCTATATGGCACATGATTAGGATATTTTTTTTTTTTTTTTAATACACATGTTTTTTATTTGATTATGATATAATTAAAAGACTTGTATGCTTGGAATTTTATAAATTCAGATAGGTTTTAATGCATTGTAAAATAAATTATAAATACATTCATTGTTCAATGTAGATATTAGCAATATACGAACCACAAAATATGAATTTTTTAAAATATGTATTTTAATTCAGATTTCTCTTGATGGTAATTCATAAAATATGATATAGTATTATATATAGATGATTGTACTTCAATTTTATTTTACTAAAATGGTAGGGAGCAATCGTTAATATAATGCAATGAAAATGGGCTTTCGTGTATTGCTCCTTAGGCGCAAATAAATTCTAGATCGATCGACTTCGTTGCTAGAATCCCTTCGAAGCGGCAAGTAATATGGAAACTTTGCTTTCGCCTTCCGTCTCGGTAGGGTAGTAAAGTTCCCGGAAAATGTTACGGTAGACAAGTTTTTATCTCTCTCTTAGAAAGTTGCGCCATAAGCAGCCGATTCTCCATTCGTAGAATTTGTATTAAAAGATGTTCTGCAAGTTGAAGTTAATATTTTCATTCGCGGGATTTCACGGCAGGCGCGGTAAATCGCTAAATTAATTCCCTCTTTATTGAATAATAAAATGATGCGAAATTGCTACTAATTTACAAACAAATAATGAATGTACCATTACGACCGCGAGGCGTGGTTTTATCCAAGTTATTTAGCAAATAAAATCAAAAGTTAACATCGACAAAGATAAATGTAGCAAGCAATCAAAGAGACTTGTGAACGTTGTCGTGAAAAGCTTAAACATTAAGAATGGAAGAAGAATGGAGCTCAGCCAGCCTTTATAAAATGCTTTCAAAAGAACATCTTATACTTCGTAAATACGATCGTTCTTACTTTCAACTCTTCTACGAATAAGATGTTCACGCCGAGGAAAACAATATACTATTGTTCTTGATGAAAAGGGAGTGCTTTAATACCAGCTAATTAACGAAATACTGCGTATTCGGTATCCGCGCAAAGACACGATCTTTTTTAAAGTGTGCCTGTGACATGTTGCTACATGAAAGAGTTTTTTTCGTTGCCATACTGACATTGCACGAAAATTAATTATTAGCGGTTGGCAGCTGTGAAAAATTTTCTTAGCGTCGGCTGCGCTTTAAATACGCGGTATCAAAAGGGTTACAGGTTACAAAGGATAATTAGTGAACTTGGAATGCGTTAACAGATCGCACTGTAATTGGATCTCCGTTATTATCCCATGCATTCAAGTCGCTCTTGAATCTTCTTAACTATTCACTCGTAACGGCGGATTTTCTTTTATCGCAGATTTTCATAGCATCGATTGGCAGTATATACTGAGCGTTCAAGCACTTTAATTAATGCGAATGAATTCCGTCCAGTATATTAATTGTAAAATTTAGTTCATCATCCAATAATATTTATATCAGCGTTATTTATACTATCGATTGGAATGAATAAAACAATTTCTTTCAAAAGTACACCGTTTTCTTTATAAAATTTTCATGTATCTATCTCTTGGGGAGAAAAATTAATTATTTCACAATGAAAGAAATAGATTATTAAAACTAATTTTTTTTTTATTTCGTTTTGTTGCTTTTTATTTTCAATCTTATGCCTGAAAAGTGAAAAGCTCCTGCAGTTTCAAAAATGGATGAAAGCGTTTCGCCGAAATCAAAGCGTGTGCCTCATCCAGATATGTCAAATAATTACATCAAAGAAGCATAATTATGTCGAAAGGTACCAATTCTCTTCATCTATTTTCCAGTCTCATATACCGGCAGCATTCTCTTTATTCATAATGTAGAGCACGACGTGAACGCAAGAAACGAGAAACGCAAGTTACTAAAAAGAGATAATGACGTATATCGCTCTAATTAACGTCAGCACTCTTTAAAATTAGCCTCAAACCATGAGATGACTTATTAACATTATCTATTTATCTTGTTTCGTTACGCGGTATACATTAACGCGACTCGTAGGTATATAAATATATGTAAAAGAAAGTTTTAGTATATATATAAATCATAAATAGGTGATGGAATGTATAAAATGAAATTTGAATGTAAATGGTGGCTTCTTTCATCGGTTTTTAGAATCAGCTTTTGCTATCAGAAATACTTAATTCATCCTCTTATATATTAAACTCATCTTTCAAAAAATTATCTTTCGAAAAATTATATTTTTGATTCTTGCAATGAATACGACAGATATAAATATGATTCATCTGATAATTGAGAAGTAAAATGTGCAATCTTTAAATATGATTTTACTGATGTTCTTTCAAAATTGGCTATTATTCCGTTTTTAATTAACACTATTTTTAATTAACATTCTATTTTTAATTACCACTCTCTGTTCTTAACTAAAGCCTCTCATTTTTGATGCAGAAAGATCAGAAATACAACAATCAAATCGTTATCTCATCGATCTTTTTTTATTTTTATCTTTGTTTCAATCAAAGAGTATATCATGTACTCTCTTGTAGTCTTTTGTTTTTCAATATTAATTGCGATATTTCAAATAAGCATGATCATAATGCTTGTTATATCCATGATCTTTTTTATTACGTTGCGCTTTAGTATCTCCATTACAAAGGATAGTAAATCTCAAGCGAACAATAGACACTGACTATTCTTGTGCATTTTTTTCAGTCCTTCTTTTATTCCAGCAACAAAGAAATTACGAATAGTTATTGCATTCAAATTACATCGAGCAAGGAAACTCTTGACGCTGATCCCACTATTAACTTCTTTTTATTTTCTATGCATAATAGCTGACAAAGAAAAAGACATGGCAGGTATGAAGATCTATCGCTGTTGCATGAAATCAATCAACAATGTCCTTGCGCTTTTCTTTCTTCGCCCTCTTCGTGATTCTTCCCAATCTTGACTTAATTTTTTAACTTTGCCTGGTCATTATTGAGAAAACTATTGTCGTTTTAAAGAGAAGTATAAGGCAGTTGAAGAGACTGCATTAATCTTCGTTTTAATGACTTTGCATTTATCTCCTTTATCATCATCATTGGTGGCTTTTTTACCACCCGTCATTCTGAACAACGAAATAAATTTCGTGATGTTTTTGGAATTGCATTCGCTATCGATTTAATTCTCTTTGGCAAAATTTGGAGAAGTATTAGAGTATTAGAGAGTGTATTTTTTTTTAATGTTAATCGCGATATCTCAAACAAGCATGATCATAATGCCTATTGATAGATTCATTCTGTGTGGTCTTTAACGATCATCTTTAATGTGGATTTACCTATCGCACGAGGTAGAATCTGCCAATATTTACGTAGCGATATAGGCCGATCACATACAAGAATCCACCACTTGATACGCGTAAATCGCAGTAGTTCGCATCGCTGTTGGCTTCGGCCGAGCATACAACCGTAGATACTCGGCTGTATCTACTTTAGTGTCGATGAAGAATCTACGTAAGTAGTCGGCATGCACTATACATCGGATGTGCCAGATGTGCCACTCAGCGGTGGTGACTGCCCTGCCATTTCTAAAGAAGTTTCTCCTTAAAGTGTACATACTTTTTGTCCTTAACTACTTTGCTACTTTATTTAATGTCTGTGCAAAATTTACGAGTACGCGTACGCAGCAGCGTTGTAGTAATCATTCTTCTGCATAGCTTATATTATATTATTCCAAGTTTGATGAAATTTCCAATTTCAATTTCAGTCTTTAGTAAGATTCGAGTTAAAATTGCATTAACGATAAAACGAGTATAGTTAAATTTAATCCTCGAAATTTAATGCCTGATATTCTGATAACTATGTCAATTAATGTGTAGATACACAGTAATGCGAATTATATACAATATATCGTAAAACGATACGAATTTAGCGAACGTAGATACATTAAATTTCTACGGAAAAGAGACTAATTTTAGAAGCGCGTTATTACTTCTTATTACAGCAAGGAGAAGAGTATTGCCGAAAGGATGCAGAGGAGGAAAAGGACGAATATAATAGGTTTCAGGTTTCAAAGGAAAATGAGCATTCTCGGTTATATGCTTATATACAGTTTTACATATATGTAAGCATATAAACCGTATAAACGCCTTCTGCTTTTATCTCTCGGTGTGCTCACTACAAAGGTGACTCGAGCGCTAAGTGAGGAACAGTATAACTTGAATACTGTAAAATTAATGCCTGATATTCTGATAACTATGTCAATTAATGTGTAGATACACAGTAATGCGAATTATATACAAGAACACTATCGTAAAACGATACGAATTTAGCGAACGTAGATACATTAAATTTCTACGGAAAAGAGACTAATTTTAGAATCGCGTTATTACTTCTTATTACAGCAAGGAGAAGAGTATTGCCGAAAGGATGCAGAGGAGGAAAAGGACGAATATAATAGGTTTCAGGTTTCAAAGGAAAATGAGCATTCTCGGTTATATGCTTATATACAGTTTTACATATATGTAAGCATATAAACCGTATAAACGCCTTCTGCTTTTATCTCTCGGTGTGCTCACTACAAAGGTGACTCGAGCGCTAAGTGAGGAACAGTATAACTTGAATACTGTAAAATTCTACAATCGTATAATGATGTCAATAAAATTTTCGAAATTTTTATATTGCTTTTGAGAAATGAATATATCTTTAATTATATTGAAATCATTTTTGTGCATAAAATTCTTCAAATGACAGGAAAACAAAAAAAAAAAGGAAAATATTAGTTCTCTAACATGTATACATGGGAACAACACCATCTCCATACATTAAAAATTGATACATTCATTCTTAATGGATTTTTTTCGCCCGACTCCGTGATAACTGTGAATCATGCGGTTTTCACCAGCTGTTATACGACTTCGGAGGAACCGAAGGATGTTGGGCTGGTGCCTGTACCCAACGAGCTCTTGGTAATGCAGAAAGCGTGTCACTGCAACAAATCCGTACTCCCGACATTACGTGTCCCGGGTAAGTGCGGCGGAGTGGTGCTTTCAAAGTGCTCGGGACTCCTTTAAGTTACCTGAACGATAAAGTTCTTTGGAAGTCACCATCAGCATCTTCGTCTTCGCTGAAAAGTATTTCCGAATTTCGAAAATTCCAATATCAATGAGGTTACGGATAGTTCGGGGACGATTTTGCTCTTTTAATTCAGGATCACGTTTGTGTACAATTAAACATTCTTGTAATCTAGTAATTATAAAATATGTAAACATGAACGTCATATTTTTAAATCGTAAATTAAGTTTGAAAAATTTCAACTTGCTAATAAAGTGTGCAAAAGATTTTAAATTCTTAAAAAGAATGTTTGACGCGCTTTTAGTTCAAATTTTTGTACGTTTTATTTGCGATATTAATATAAATTTTTAATAATATACATAATATAATATTTTTAATACATATTTGCAAAGAATATATAAATTTTGAATTTTAATAGAACGATTATGATTTATGGTGTGCATATATTGTATGTACTGATACATGTACTAGTACAATGGGGATCGCTGATTACCGTAACAGAGAGGATTTTCGCTTATTCATTGTTTGCGCATATGTGTGCATTTAGATAGGATCGAACGTCATTTTGGTAGGATCAATCGTCATCCCAAAGGGATTAAGCGCTAACTCTGTAAGCCCGCGCTCTCACATTGGATTAAATTTGCACGTTGAGCAAATATGAGGCAATTACTCTGAAATAAATTGCTATAGTCTCTATACGAGAGAGGAAACACAATAAATATACGTTTATATGAAGAATTAAAATAATTTTAAATATTTAATTCATCTCTCATGTAATCGGTAAATGTTCATCATTGGAGAACAGATAGGTTTGTTTCGTCTCTTATTGTTGTTTTTGATCTTTCGAGAAATAGAATCATTATTATGTTATCAATATCAATTTGTAACATTTTAGATTATAAATGCTTATGCTTTATTCAACTCGTATTTGTTTGTTGTAGCTAATGTAGCACTGTATATCAGTAACCTGTCATACAGGCTAATATATATATATATATATATATATATATATATATATATATATATATATATATATATATATATATATATATATATATATATATATATATATATATATATATATATATATATATATATATATATATATATATATATATATATATATATATATATATATATATATATATATATATATATATATATATATATTAGCCTGTATGACAGGTTACTGATATACAGTGCTACATTAGCTACAACAAACAAATACGAGTTGAATAAAGCATAAGCATTTATAATCTAAAATGTTACAAATTGATATTGATAACATAATAATGATTCTATTTCTCGAAAGATCAAAAACAACAATAAGAGACGAAACAAACCTATCTGTTCTCCAATGATGAACATTTACCGATTACATGAGAGATGAATTAAATATTTAAAATTATTTTAATTCTTCATATAAACGTATATTTATTGTGTTTCCTCTCTCGTATAGAGACTATAGCAATTTATTTCAGAGTAATTGCCTCATATTTGCTCAATTTGAAGATTTTTATAATTTTTTTGATTAATTTGAAATTAATATCTTTTTAGTAAAAATTTGATTGTACGTTATTTTTTTAGTTATATTAATTTTTAAAATTATTGTGATAATTAGGCTTCAAATTAGAATTTGTTAAAGTTAAACTGAATTAAAATTAAATAAAGAATAAAACTTTATTATTTTTATTTTTTCATTAAAATTTAATGTGCGAATATTTTTTATTTTATTTATAACAAACTATTCTGATGTCTTTCAAGATTTTCAAAATCGAGAAACATACTTGAAATTAATCAAGAAATAAATATAAGACATTATGTATATTTCGTGGTTGCATTATATTTGTAAGAAGATAGATAGAAGACCTTTAAATTGTTTTGCTTTTTTTGAGAAAAGAAAATGCACATAATTTTCATAGAGAACTGGTAGCGATATCGAGCCGACTTCGCAAAGTCACCGAAATTGCAAGATTCTATCTTGACAAGAATGTATCTCGCGTTGGCAACGGAAAAGCGGTTTAAGTCGCACCTCCTTGTGAGGATTTTGAATGGAGAAGGCAAGAGAAGAAGTCAGAGAATACTCTTAACGGAATAGTAAATTGCCTGGAAACTGCTACGCTATTTACGGACTGCGTTTCCTCTTATGGTCGATTTTGAAACTTGTATTTTTTAGCTCGTCATTACGCGAAATTAAAATCATAAATTCCAAGAAATTAAAAGATCTATTCTCCGTGATTTTAGCGAATTTTAGGACGTGTTGAAAAATATTTTCACTACGACGCAGAATAAGTATGGCGAGCAGCTTTTCTGTGAACGAAAATCTCTGAAATAGGCAGATGTCCGTTTCCGGCGATCCGGTTCTAGAATTCCTCGACGGAACCGGAAACCTACTTTACCTTATGCAAATCAATTCAACCGGAACGTGATCCGATTAGCGACTTAAACACTTGGCATACACCTCTCGAAGCCGCGGAGGCCAGATTTAGCGAGCGATTAGAGTTTTTCAGATTCACATGTGACGTATTGGTTCACCCGGGAGTTAATTTCTCTCTTCTTTGTTATCGTAAAGAATTATACAACGTGTTCAATACTAATATACATAATTTACATTACGTCATGAAAACAGCAGAAATTTTTCTCATTATTGATGCGACATTAATTAATTCCGATGGTCCTTACTATGCTCAGTTTTCCCATTTACAATGATCAGTATCATATAATATTGAATGTTGGCGTTATTCGCATATTGTTTAATGAAAATTAGTCGATTTGTTCACACACACATAAACACGATACCCGATTTGGTTAATACCCTTATTATCGCTTGAAATATACGTTATATATCATAATTATTTAGAGCAAATTTAATATTGATAATATTTTCAGTATTTTGATATTTTATGCATAACGTTGTCAGAGAATACAATTAAAGCATATCAATAAAAACGGATGAATTAACCTAAATGATTGAAAGATATATGACATTATTCGTATAAAAATTCCACTCTTAGATAAAAAAGCGCATTATTCTTTCTTTAATAAAGCTTACAACATGTTAGTTTATGTATAGAATCATGTTCTTTATATTGGCGGAATTTATATATACTAATTAATTTTTATATCTGGAGATTTTTCACTCTACTAGATAGTGTGTCGTTTTTCTTTTCAACTTTGGTGCAACATCAAGCGGAAACATTTTCTTCGTCGCGGATGTCAAACACGCTTGTGTCACGACGTTTATTTAGCGGAGTGCACCTTTTCTTTAGTGCTCACCTCTCCCTGGAGCCCTCTTTATCCTTGCTTTCCGGTAACGCCGTCGTATCTGATATAGTCGTATCCACTTTTACCTTATAAAAGTATATACTAGTGAGTCGATATCGTCCACACTGTCGATGGAAGGTGGTTGTCCTGCGATAGTAGTTTCAGTTCCATCGGGATGTTATAGAGCATCGCTGCTATACTTTAACTCGTGAATAATACTGTTCAAAAACGCATGTGAAGATAGCTTTTTTTGAAAACACTTTCCATGTAAAGAGGAGAATATGAAATTTATAATCAGCTTCATTGCGATATCAATGTTATTGACATAGTACTAATTTAAATACCACGTTAACTTACATAATTAATTTTAAGTAAATTTTAGTTTATAATAAGATATTAATCTGAAATTTATATGTCCAGATATTTCTATTATAACTGCAAGAAACTGATAAATGTTAGCTATTCATATAAATTTACTAAAAAGGAAAAGATATTAATATGAATAATGAATCAATATTTAAAAAAATCTCTTATTATTGATATGTGCATATATGAAACCGTTTCCCAATGTATAACATTATTTAATTAAATCGCTCATTTGAAAGTGAATGTTTGAAGAATAACTTGCGACGATATTATAGTGTAAATTACAATGTTCGGTGTATAGAAGCATCTTCAATTATAGTGGTGTCATATTGTCATTAGTTTTTTCCAAATAAAAAAGACTATGCTTATAACGCGAGGTTTTATAAATATTTTATGTTTCCAAAGAGATTCTTCTTTTCAAATTTTTTTTTTCGTTAATATTTGTAATTTTAACTGACTTTCTCTCAGGTAATTTCATTTTTAAGTGACGGCTAGTAATTCCGCACATTCTTGCAAAGAGCATGTTCAATAAAATAAGAAAATAAAATTCTGCACTTTTCACTTGTAAATCTTGATATTTCCTTCTTTAAAACGAGCTGATTTACGAACAAATTTATGTAACGATACGAAACGTTTTTGCTGAACGTCTGAATTAAAACTTAGCACGATTGCTATGGGAATTGATATTGAAATTTTCATATTTATACAAGTCTGCAGAATAAATGCCCTGCGGAAGTCAAGTATATATTAATCTATATTATGAATTTATTAAATAATGTTGAAAAAATTCTTTTCGATCTACCATGATATTTTATAATTTAATTTTAACGAGCTTTATTTCCATAAGTAGATTTCAGTATTTTTGGTGTGCTAGTAGAAAATTTGATATTTTACACAATATAATTTTCATGAGCTTATATCTTTATTTTCCGATGTTTTCGTGTGCTTACAGAAAATGCGAGAGTAGTCAAGTTTTCGTCAAGGACCGCCACACACACTGTATAGATACTTGTCGCCCTGTTACTATGTGCGGCGAGGTAGTCGTCCCGGAGGACCATCTTGACGTAAGTAATTACCCGATAAGTTGCCTAAGTCGAGTTAAACCGTGCAATAAATATCGAAGCTAGTCAAAGGAGTAGATTGAGTGATCTATTTTGTGTAATGGCAAACTATATAAAATTCACAATCTGCTTGGTTGATGTTATTTGTTACAGCGTATATAATGATCATAAATTCATTTTTTTTTTGTTACAAGAATCTTTTTTTAAATTAATTTTAAATTGACATTTATTTTAACATATAGAGTCTGATATTCCACGATAAAAATTAATATATTATAAGATATTATAAAATATATTATAAAAATTAATAAATTATATGAGTTGCGACTAACTACTATTATTATTTATATCTCTAGCAATTATTTTCTATAAGTACTAATAATTTATACGTTAAACATTAACTTTGTGTGTTACAGATATTTTATAATATTAAAAAAATATAATTAAAATATGAATTGATAAAATTTAAATTTTGATATTTTGTTTTATTGAATTTAACTTTTAATTGAATTACAACTTGTCGATACTTAAATAAATTGATATATTATAAAATTGAATATTTTCATAATTTATGATATTAAGTATATGAATACAGCGATAGGCGTTTATATTCGATCGAAATAAGTGGAAATTTTAATGTTGTCTAATACTGTTAAAATACACTAAAAGTTTTAATATTATATATATCTCTGAAATATATCCCGATTTATTAAATTTATAATTACAGAATTGATGATCAGATATTATAATGATTTACAATAATTTATATTAAGAGTTACAATATTACTCGCGATTGAATCTATATTTTCGTAATTTGGTCCACATTTTTATTTAAAAAATATTATGTGCTTATTACTCATAATATATAAAAATAAAATTTAACTTGACGAATTTTTCACTCATGAAAGATGATAGCCTGTGATCGTGACAGATGGCACGATCTCTATATTTTCACGTAGAACGCGTATATTCATCGAAATAAGAGGCATGATATTTCATTGATGCTTCATCTTGATCGATTACCGAGGCTCGTACTGAAGGGATGTGCTTTAACGATAGCAGCCTGGAAACGAGAGGCGCTAATTGATGAGTAGCCCTGAGAGGCGAATTGGTGTCGGATAACTTATTAGAGCGAAGGCGTCTTTGTCCTTGTTGTTGACAGTATTTACTGATGGCATAAAATTATTTACCTCCTCACCGAAGGTGTCTTGATGATAATGCGATTTTCCACTCCCACGTTCATCAGCTTTAATGTTTCCGGATATTTTGTTGTTTACAGGCTACAATCTTCTTTACAGTACTTTGCGTCTGACATTTATTATGCGATAACACGATCTTCGTGTCATTTTATATTGCTGTAAAATTCTTGATGTCAAAAGACGTGGGAAATATATTTTTTTTTCTCTTTTTTACTTTAATGGATAATTCTTTCGAAATTAAGTTTGATCTTATTAATTATTATATAAGGCATCAATATTGTTTTCTTGAATGACTTGCTATATATTATCAAATACACACGTATGTATATGCAGGTCTGCAGAACGTGTAACGCGACGGGACACAATTGCGGAATTGCTGAGGGGAGTAAAGCAGGTCCGGGAATCGACGGTGCCGATTTTGTCTTCTATGTATCTGCTATGCAGACTGAGAGATGTCACAAGGGCTTAACAGTAGCCTATGCTGCTCATTGTCAACAGGAAGCTGCTTTAGACCGGTAAGTTGTTCGGCGAAAACAATATTTAATATATTATAATAATAATATGTATAATAAATTTAACTACTAGTTTATAATATTATTAATAAAAATTTTACATATTAAA